AACCTATGCACGGTTTCTTTACAAAACTGGCGCAATAACCAAGACTTTTTCGCAGCGTTGTTACAAGATATTACAAATTGTTTTTATATACACCGTTGTATTCTGTATTTAAAAATGAAGAAAATTTCTTGTGAAGGTTATGAAACATAGTAAACAATTTGTGATCCACGTGTATCATATGTTGCACATAAATTTCAAAATATTTTCTCTTGTTTCCATACAGTACATTCAAGTATTTTGATGAGAAATATGCTGAGAAACGTAAACTGATTGTTAGATCGTAAATTTTAGAAACGTAATTTTTTTAAGTGTTAATATGGTAAAGTTAATTGTACCAAAAAGAATGCGTTGCGTAAAATTCACATCCTTACGATATGTAAGTACGATATGATGTCCATAAATTGAATTTATATACATTTAAAAGAATTGACATGATAATGAGACCTGTATTCAGTTTTCAGCAAAATCAAAAGCTGTACTTAGTGATACAGTATTTACTTCAATCTCTAATAATGAAATAAAATATAGACAACATCCAGGTATCGTTATCCCTAGAACAACAGTATTTCCACAATGGGCAATAAAAGAAATACGAAGTATCTTAAAAGGTATACAATGTATATTTAGCTCTTACATTTAAAATATTTGTAGAATATTTTGTTGTTAATTACTACTTTATAATACTATACTTCTAGAGAAACAAATAGGCTTGAAAGAAATTAAAGAAAGTACAGAGAAATTAATACATCACTTGAATAAACGTCATCCACCATTAGAACAACACGAGTTAGCAGCAAAATTACACAAAGTAGAAGAGCGTTTAACTATTAATAACCATGGTGAAAAGATATCGATAGAGGATATAGATTTCCGTAAAGATAGAAAGTCTAGGTTGATTTTGAAGCAAAATGTTTATAACTGGCAACCAATACATTTCGATAAATTCACTTCCCTGACATATCTGGTCGGCAGAAGTGTTCAGAATTATGCGGTTTTATGTAAAATTTTCAATGAAATTAAATTTCGCGACAAGGATTTCAAGCCTCAAACATTGTTTGACTTTGGCTCTGGCGTTGGCACAGTCATGTGGTAAATATAATAGTTAACTATATTGGATGATTTGAAAAACCTAGAATATTTAATACAAGATTGATTAATATAAAGGAATCTTTTTTTTTATTCTATAGGGCAGCGTCTGATATCTGGTCGAAAACGTTAAAAGAATACTTTTGTGTTGAAGCATCGGAATTCATGATTGAATTGTCGGAAAGATTAGCGAAAGCTGCTGAACCAAAGATCAAAGAAGTTTTTCATCGTCAATATTTTCCTATCTCGACGAATGTAAGAGTAACAAAATATTATACACATTAAAGTTTTTGTTCAGAAAAGATATTATTTGATATATCTCCGTTATTTTTAGCGAACTTACGATATCGTAGTGAGCGCGTACACTTTGTTTGAATTACCGGGTATAGAATCACGCATCGACGCAATATTAAAGCTTTGGGCAATGACTAACAACTACCTGATTATTGTAGAAGAAGGAACCAATGCAGGTTTCAAAGTAGGTATATTCAGTATAATTTTATTTTCTATATATATTTTGTAAAATTCTCATCCTTGTTCCTTTTTTTGAAAGCTAGTAAATGAAGCACGAGATTTCGTTCTCAAATATGCAAATTCGAAACGTAGACGCGAAACGCAATTTGCTCATGTTTTCTCACCTGTAAGTATCTATTAGATAGAAAAGAAATCCGAAAGTGATGCATTGATTGTCTCTTAAATCTGTTATATTATTGTTGCAATTTAGTGTCCACATGATTTGAAGTGTCCAAGATTTGCTACCGACAATACTCCGTGTAATTTAAGCGTTCTTTATTACCCATTGCAATTTTTTGGCGGTCGGCAACACAAATCAGAGCTATATTCTTATGTTGTATTAAAGAAAAGTAAGTAAGGTTGAAAAATAAAAATAACAAAAATGTTATTTAAATCATTATAAAAGACACGATAGAAATTATATATTGGCACTAATTATTAAGTTTTATCGAGATGTTACGTATATCCTTTCCAATACAAAATATGTTTCTTTTTACAGGCAAACGTCCTGAGAATGATGAGCAATGGCCAAGGATCGTGCGAACTGTACTAAAACGTTCTAATCACACGATCTGTCGCATGTGCACCAACAGTGGAGAACTGAAAGAGGAGATATTTACAAAATACAAGCATGGAAAGTATGTATCTATTAAATTGTGTTTGAGTATACAATTATATGAAATCTTTTTATTGCCAGACATATGTACCGTTGTGCGAGAGAGAGTAAATGGGGCGATAGATTACCTCTGCATTATGAACAACAGCAAGAAAATTTAGAAGAAACTGAAACAGTTACTAAAACGGCTACTGAAAATGAGAATACGTTGAATGAGGAAATAAAGTTTCATTAAACATTTTTTATTTTTGTTATTTGTGTGTGTGTGTGTGTGTGTGTGTGTACACCCCTTAAACTTTATTAAATAAATATAAACTTGATATAAATTTCAACTTATTTAGGAAAATTATTAAATAATAATCTACATATATTGTTATAATAAAGAAATAATTCTATAATATTAATAAGGCTCGTACGAATATCAATTTAATAATATTAATTTGAATAGCTATTCGAGCCGCGCTGGATATTATTTGCGAATTTTTTCAATAAAATAATTTATTAATGTAATAACTATAAACGTTTCAACCTTTTAAACTTGGCCATCTTCAGTGATCTTGTTCTTTTTATATTTTGTCAAACAATCTCTTAAAATTTATTCGAACTGCTGATGAACTTAAACTTGCTGATTATGTTTCTATGAATACTCAATCTTTGCTTATTCATAGAGATATAATCAGTTTAATATTTCAATTTGATACAATGACTAAAGAGCCACAACTTTGAATTGGAAAGTTCGAAAATTTCAAGACATTTGACACGATATAAAATAATATTGCTATTTATACATTTGAAGACATACATATGATTTCCTCGGATTGATTTTAACGTTATGTATATAAGAAAGACTGAATATTACATTAGATATTGATTAGAATTTATTAGAACAAGATCACTGAAGATGACCAAGTTTAAAAGGTCGAAATTTGTTTGTAATTATTATATCAATAAATTATTATTTTATTGAAAAAGTTTGCAAATAATATCCAGCGCGGCTCGAATAGCCATTTAAATTAATATTATGGAATAATTCTAAATAATATACAGAATTCTTTTTTTTTTTTCAATTAAGGCTTCAATTATTTTAAAGTAATATTTATGTTTGCTATATTAAATTGTATATCGCCGAAATATTGTAGCGCATCAGATTTTTATCAAAGTTTTCCTGTTCCGACATTAGTTTAAGACTCACTGATACATTATATTGATGCTAAAGCATTCATTTTGCGAGAAGCGTATGTGATGAAGAGGGGCATTTAAAAGCGGACTGAAGACTGGTCCACGGCCAGTCCCGCTTATACAACGAACGAGAAAATTTCTCCACAAGTGCAAGGTAAGGTAAATTCAAAGTTCGCAAAAGGAAGAGCCGATTCTTCCTCATCAATTTTTTTGAAGTTTTTCTCTTACGGTGCACTTAGCAGAATAATTTTTAAGTAATGTATAGCTTTATTTATTTGTCCAATGTATGAAATATTTATTAATTTAATGATTTTTATAATCAGTAAAATTTATTATTGTGTGTGAAAAGAATAAGTGTTTATTTAGTAAATTTATAAGTGTTATAATTTATAAGAATAAGTATTTATTAAGTAAATTTATAAATGTTATAAACACATAAAAATATTATCGTCCATTATTATATTTCAAATACTGGTCAAAAATTTTAAGTTATTAATTTAAAGATACTGACATTAAAAACATTTTACGTTTTTCTTTTTAAACCTTATCTGATATATGTAATATTGTAAAAGTAAAAAAAGATAATATGTGCGTTATACCTTAATTAATCTTTGAAAAAATAATTCTAACTTTTAAATATAAATAAATTTTCAAATAAAATAAGTAAATTGAACTGTGTGCAAGTATTTATAATAATTCGAATCAGTGCGTTTTATATATTTAAATTAACCTTTAAAGCAATTAACAATTTCAAAAAAAGGGATCGCAATTTAGATATAATTTGCAAATAGCATATATGTATATAAATGTAAAAATTATAAATGTAAAATACGTAAATTAAAATATATGCAAATGTTTGTAATAATTCGAATCAGTGCATCGTACATATTTTCCGAATGCATCAAGAGATACCAGCTTGAATTCCAAAGTGGATGAAGTTGAAATAAGAATTCGAAAGCGACAATGAGCATTTTAAAAATAAAAATGCTAAAATATGCTTCGATTACGCAACTTATGGGATAATAAGGGTGACGGCGCATTTGCGCAAGTAATGTGCCGATTCTTCCGTATGCAACTTTCTCTTACGAGAGTACAAGTGTTTCACTTTTCTCTCCGAAACTCGTTTATTGTACGCGTACTTGTGCGTACATTTGTATCAATGTGTGTGCATATCCGACCGGGAATACAAAATACCGATATAAATACCGATTGCACGAACTTAATGTCTAGTAAAAGTAGACGACTCGAAAAAAATTGAGAGAAAACATATTTCCTGAAATTTATACTTTTTATAAAACAGATCTGTTCCACAATTATTGGATATGTGATATAGATTTTTCTTTGCTTCTTTTATGTTATTTTTATCTCCATTTTTTTTTAAAGCTAACATCGCTAAATAGAAAACGCACATGTTAATCTTACGTAAATTCTGTGTATTTTTAATGTGTGTGTGTGTGTGTGTGTGTGTAAATATAAAATATATATGTAATATATATAATATAAAATTTAGAAAGAAAAATGTAAAGAATATTTTGCGTATTATTTTTATCTCCTTTTAATATTTATTATATTATGAATATTGTATGTTACAGATTAGATTTATAAGATGCTCGCCACAGCGATGCTACTGGCAATAATCATACTGTTATTGTTATATTTAAGCTGTCAAAAACCAAAAGGATATCCACCAGGTAAAAGTCGAGTTAAAAATTCTTTTTTTCTTCTTGTTATTTTATATAACTGATATTTTTTTATTATCTTCAGGTCCAAGATGGTGGCCCATTCTGGGCTGTGCATTGGAAATAGCACGTATCCGTCAAGAGACTGGATATCTCTTCAAGACTTGTTCGACGCTTTGTAAGAAATACGGTCCTGTGGTGGGTCTGAAGATTGGCCAGGACCGCATCGTCATTATGAATGATCTAGAGAGCATACGAGCAATGCTGACCAACAAGGATTGTGACGGCAGGCCAAACGGACCATTTTATAAAGCCAGAACTTGGGGTGTCACACTGGGTAAACTATCTGTTCAGAAAACAAATAAGATACATGTTGAATTTTGAGAGATAATTATATAATAACTTGTGATCAGGTCTTCTCGTAGTAGATGATAAACTATGGGTGGAACAACGGCGTTTCGTCATACGACATTTGCGAGACTTTGGCTTTGGTCGTACCAGCATGCTCACAATCATCGAGGATGAGGCATTAAAGCTGGTGGAACATTTCAAGAAAATGCTTAAAAACAGCTATAATTATGAAACTGCTGATGCACGAAAAATGACAACGATAAATAATAACAATATTGGTCAGATATACAAATTGCAGAAAGATCCAAAAGACAAACTGAATAAATTGAAGCTATATGACGAATTTCATGTACTCAAGGATAAAATCTCTGATCATAAACCTCGTACAGTGGCGGACTTGTATATGAAGGCCGAAGATTACGCGGAAGTCAGAAAAGTCTGCCAATCTGTAGGAATGATTATACCGATGCACGACGCCTTTGGTGTGACTGTATTGAATACCCTTTGGAGAATGATGGCTGGTAGAAGGTTCACATCCATCACGCGGATTATTCCTATACTTCCGCTAATAGATAAAATCTAAGAAACATATAAAGAATTTATTGTTAACGTTGATAATTTTTGTTTTTTACAGGTATGATGCTGGCGACAAGGAACTTACGCACTTACAACGAATCCTCACAAAGCTTTTGAATGAAATTGATATGATCGGCGCGCCTTTCAGTCACTTTCCATTTCTACGTTTTATCGCGCCGGAAATGTCCGGTTATAAAGCATTTGTAGAAACACATCAGGAACTTTGGGCATTTTTAAAAGTGAGTGGACATGCATTATTGATGTATCATTAGATCGTTTTACGAACAAGTGTATTCTGAATGTTCGAAGATAATTATTGAATAAGAATATAAAAGAGGGCTACGAGTCTAAAAACGAATACTTTTAATGTAGATAATTAAATCACATAAACAAAAATAGACAATTCGTACGATCGGGTCATTTTCAATGTAATAAGTCGGTTATAAAATCTCTCTTAACAATAACTTAAATATGTAAAAAATATATAATGAATTATAAATTAAGATTTAAAGTATTAAAAAATTATTAAGTCACTGATAAAAACCTAATTAATCGCAACTGTTGTATACAAGAAGTATTGGTCCAACCAGTATTAAATCGATTATAAAATATGTGATATTCTTCAAAAGCATCTAGTCAAAAATTGCATTTAATTCTAAGTGTATCAATTATCAGAACAGATTTCGTAATCTTAATTATAATAATCTTAATTATTACAAGCAAAGAATGTAGTAAAAAATGATAAAAAATTGTATTAAGTGAAGCAATCGTGCGATAAAACTAAAAGTTTTAAAACTAACACTTTTTGAGTTTTATCGCATGATTCTTTAATTAATACAATTTTTTATCAATTTTTTAATTACATTCTCCGCTTGTAATATAATTTGTCCGATAAGATCGTGGTCGATCTATATGAAAAAAAAAAAAAAAAAATTTATTAGCATTTAAATAATAATGATTATATTCTATAGAATTAGGGTTAAAATGCAATTAATAATGGATCTAGTCACCACCGGTGTCTATAATAAACTATCATCTCCGAGGCATATTTTCCACTAAATTGATAGTATTCGTGTGGCAAGGATCTCCAAATGCGTCGAATGTCGGTAGACAATTGTTTTAAAGTGAATGTCCGTGTCTCACGCGAAGTTTTTTTTTGATAAATATATTACCACTATGGCTAATAACGCTCATACATTTGCAATCGGATTCGCATCGGGTGATTGCGACGGCCAGTCTAGTATCATTTTCCTCTTTCCAATTCGTGCAGAGTTTGCTTTGATGTTTTGAAACGTTATTCTCTTGGAGAATCCAATCTTCATTTTTATTGATAAACCAACGTTAGACAAATGATATCAGAGCCTTTTGATATATTTTTAACATTTTTTCTGCGTTCAAGTTGTCTGTGAATAAGTAAAGGTAAATTCTTGTTTTGAGAAGCAGCCTCAAGCATGCACCTTTACTATATGTTTAATGGTTCGTTGGACAAGTTTATTAGTAGTGGTAGACCAGGATCGGCGGGGGCGTGTTGGACGATAGAACGTGCCCAAAAAGATGTTTCGTCCGTAAAGATTATTTTGCTCCAGTCGCGATCTTTATTTTCTTTTGCCCAAGCAAATCGTGTTCTCGCGTGTTTTTCTATTAGCTTCGGCTTCTTTATTATACTGCGTCATTTTATGCCATGAGCAAGATAATGTCTTATAGTATCGCACGATATTTCTAAATCTTTTTTTAAATATTGCCTATCCTTGACACAACGATAACGTACTATACTTTTCAAATAGGCTTAGAAATCTTTTAACGTCTTTATTGATAAATACTCTATGATAAATACGCTATGCCACGTTCTGGTAAATCATCCACCGTTTTTGTTTCAATATAACGTTGTATCCACTTTTGGATGAACGATTTTGATTTATATATATTTTGATTTATATATATTTTGGCATATATTTTGGCGGCAGCAGATTGAGACATTTTTGATCCTTTTGGATGTGTACATAAAAATACAACTTCAAAGCGCGATGCGTAAGTGGCTCATTTTGAAATACGCTCTTTCTATCAAGAATCAAACGATAACTGACGATGACTGAACACTACGGTTAATAACGCATCAAGTATAAAGGTACCTATATCAGCACACGAAAGATTAGATACATTACTTTAAATACGTAACGCCACTATGATCCGAATGTTAAGATGTTGAACTGTTATATATATTCATTTAAATGAATTAATTTTAGAAATTATAATTGCGTGCCGGTTGTCAGACTTTTACCGGCTACGAGTAATCGCGACTACACTCTTATCGGACAGATTGTAATTAAGATTATTATATATTACGAAACCTATTATAATAATTGATACACTTGAAATTAAATACGATTTTTTACTAGATACTTTTGAAGAATATCACGTATTTTATCGATCTAATACTGATTGGACTAATACTTCTTGTATACAACAGTTGCGATTAATTAATTTTTTTTATCAGTGACTTAATCATTTTTTAATACTTTAGACCTCAATTTATAATTCGTTATGTATTTTTTACATATTTTAAGTTATTGTTAAGAGAGATTTGATAATCAACTTTTTGGTATTACATTAAAAATGACCCGATCGAGTACGAAACGTCTGTTTTTGTTTGTATGATTTAACTATCTAAATTAAAAGTATTCGTTTTTAGGCTCGTATTTTAGGCCTTCTTTTATATTCTTATTTTATTTTCATTAAGCCTTTTGACATATTATTTAATTAAACAATTATTGAAAGTTAATAATTCCTATTTTAGGAAGAATTGTATAATCATAAAAACACATTTTTATCAAACGCACCGCGAGATTTGATGGATGTCTACCTGACTGTGCTAAATTCAAAAAATTGTAGCGATACATTTTCTGGTACTTGAAAGCATACAATTTACAAATACATTATTATATATATTGCCACTAAACAATAATTTTATATAATAATAAAATAATTTCAGAGTCCCAGTTATTGGCGATCTGCGTGGATCTCTTCATAGCGGGCTCCGAGACAACTTCGAAAGCACTCGGCTTCGGATTTTTAAATCTAATATTAAACCCGCAGGTTCAGAGGAAGGCACATGAAGAAATAGATAGAGTTACTGGCCGTAACAGATTTCCCACATTGGCTGACAAACCAAAGTAAACATCATTGTAATCACTCTCGCATATCTGTAACTGCGGAAGAATTAATCGCGAACAAGAATTATTTTGCATCGAATATTAATTATATTCTTATTTTTTAGAATGCCATATGTTGAAGCCATCGTGCTGGAGTCCATAAGAGTCTTCGTTGGCCGCACTTTGAGCGTCCCACATAGAGCGTTAAAAGATACTTTTATCGTCGGTCATAAGATACCAAAGGTAATATCATAAAAGATTTAACATTTTATAAATTAATAAGGTAAAAAGTAAAATGGTTGTTATATTATATATAAAATATGTGCACATCGTCGTTTCCAGGATACAATGCTCGTTGCAAATTTCAATAGAATACTCATGGACGAATCCTGGGATGATCCAGAAGACTTCCGGCCAGAGAGATACCTCGATAATGATGGCAACATCATTACGCCAGATAAATATTTTCCTTTCGGCATTGGTATGTTTTCTCTTTATATATCAGGGTATTTTCCTCTAACTTGATCATCTAAAATATCTCCGTTGTTTTTAATACAAGAAAATACCGAATTGGTGGAAAGAAAATCGATTTTGTTTTACTTTAGACACAATTGCTTATTTTAAAAAATTATTCATTTTGTATACATATTTTTTTAAAACTATGTGTTTTCTTTCCATCAATTGATTCATCTCAATCTCTTATTCTGTTCAAAAAAGTATTAAGGTTAACGCTTATTAAAAAATTAATAGTTTATTTAACAGAGTTATTTAACAACGGTATGAAGACTCTTTATGTATAACATAAATAAACAAACAAAGTAAACGGCGAAATAAGAGTCAATAAATTATAAAACATTTAATTACAAATATTAAGCGAAGATACATGAAAAACGATACAGAGCGGCGCATATATATGTATAAAAAACATTCGGAGAATAGGTACCATAACAAGTTTCGGCTGCCGGATTGAGCCCTCTTCAGATGTTAAGTATAATAAAATAAAACAATAAATAAAAATAAATCAAAAAAATAATTCATGTTGTAACAATCATAAAACGCAAAAAAGTAAAATTCGAATGGATCTCGAAGTAATACGTGCGATTGAGCAGTCAAGATGTCAAGAGTTATTTAACATTTTATGTCAATATATGCCAGAATAAAGTATAAAATATAAAATATTTCGTAAGCTATTGATTTTTTGATATCACTATCTTAATACTTTTATATTTAGAATAATTAGAGGAATTATATTAAGTAAAAAAATCATACAATTCCATTTAAAAAAGTGGAAGTGACTTTGAAATCTCAAAAAATTTGGCATTGAGAAAAATTTATTGGTCGTTATAATATGTGTCCCTTCGAATCAAACAATTTTCTCCTTTGATATTTTCTCATATCATTAAAAACAATGGAGATATTTTAGATAGTCAAGTTACAGGAAAAACACCCTGTATGTATGTACACACACACACACACTCTCTCTCTCTCTCTCTCTCTCTCTCTCTCTCTCTCTCACACACACACACACACACACACACACACACACACACACACACACACACACACACACACAACCATAAAACTCATTAGGTGATAAACTTAATTCCTGCCGCTATATACTTCAGGATACTGGATCTAATCCTGGCTTGTTTCGACGAAGTCGTTTTGTAGTTTAGACATCGCTAAAAGTGATTCAGTCTTCACAGATTAGATTTCTCGACGCCAAAGAGATTTTTCAATCGATTGAAAATGAACTGCAATAAGCTGTTTTTCTGACATGTGCTTCTTCTACTTCGACCTCAAGAAAATCGCAGCTGAAGCGCATCGCCTATTATCCGAAGTGTTTGCTGATAAAACTTCATCGGAAAGAACATGTAGAGTTTGGTTTGAACGCTTCCGAAATGATTATTTTGATGTGAGGGACAAAGAATGCACCGAACAGCCGAAAAAAATTTGAAAATGTCGAGCTGCAAGAATTGTTCGATGAGAAAGGTAATGTTGCTCCAATGGCCGTCTCAAAACGTTTGCATATCATGAGAAAAATTCATAAGGAAGAGAGATGGCTATCACATGAGATGTCAGAAAATGCTATTTTAAATCGTTTGTCTATCGCGACTTCTTTGCTTGCCAGGCAAGAAAAAAGTTTTTTGTAATTGGCGAAAAATGGATTTATTTTGATAATCCCAAACGGAGGAAATTAGAGGTGAGCCCCGGCTAATCATCCACTTCAATACCGAAGAAGAATATTCGCAGACCTAAGACCTTGCTCTGCATTTGGTGGGACCAGGAGGGTGTGCTGTACTACGAGCTATTGCGTCCAAATGAAATCATTATAGCTGATCACTACCAATGACAATTACACCGATTGAGTAACGAGTTAATGCAAAAAAGATCATCCATAATCGACAATCGACACAAAATCATTTTATTGCATAACGCTCAACCGCATTGTGAAAAGCGTGAAGCAGACACTTCTACAACTTGAATAGGAAATCCTCCCGCATCCAGCGTACTCTCCAGACTTGGCACTGTCCGGATTACCATCTCTTCCAGTCGATGCAACGCGCACTTACGGACACACACTTCTCCACACTTCTTACGAAGAAGTCTAAAAATAGATGAATGAATGGATCGCCTCGAAAGACATCGACGATCTACCGTCGTGGGATTATTATTGCCGAAGAGATGGGAAAAAGTAGTAGAAAATGGAGGAAATCACTTTAATTAAGGGATTCATTCATCTTCTCTTCGAAACAAATCAATTTTAGAGGCGAAAAAAGGGCAGGAATTAAATTTACCAATATATAAAATCTAAGGACAATCATAAGCTTAATCCCAAATGTGAATAATTTACAACTTACAGGTAGACATCATTGCATGGGAGAAACATTAGCTAGAAGCAACATTTTTATCATAACAGCCACGCTGCTACAGGCATTCAGCTTCTCGGTGGTACCCGGTGAGCCACGACCAACCACGCAAGACTTTGTGGATGGTGTCACGGCTGGTCCTAAACCGTACAGAGCATTAGTTTCTTTGAGAATGTAAATTAGACATTTGACCGAAGCATTATTTCTATACTGAATCTTGTCTCAAACTTGCCATTTTAAATAATTATTAACAATAAGAGTATTCTTTTTTTAATCTTTCAAGTTAATGAATCTCTCTGTATAGAGATAAATGTAAGATCAAACTGTAAGATAAAATATATATATCGTTAATTTTAATATACATATAACGTTTGTCACAAAAATATATTTTTATTATTATTGTTATATATAGGAGTATACAGACAGACATATGTACATATATAAAGAAAACTACACGAAATAAATAATTGTTCATACATTAGAAGAATATAGTCTTCGTATCACCGTTTGTTCATCGAACAAACATCTGAATCGATATCCTCGCATCGCATGTTTGACAATAATTATAGCATTGCGAATTGAAGGATCATATTCATCTGAATGTGAACCATAAGCTTTGTATGCCAAGGATTCACACGTGATTTTTAATTAATAGTGAACATCAAGAGTAGAGTCCGATTGAAACTTTTATCGAAACTGAAAACGGACACTTATTATGTGTCAGTTTCGACTGAAACCATACAGCTCTTCATAAATATTAATTTTAATATATGTGATTGTTTTAATAATTAAATTATGTTTATAAAGAAGTACTTATGAAGAGGAAGAGTATTTCTTTGGCCAAAATTGATACACAATCAAAATTTCGATTTTTGATTTCGGCTAAAATTTAATTATTATTTCAATAAATTATGATATTTATGAAGAAAAAATATATGATATAAGGGCATATCTATACATATGGCCTTTATAAGATTCCTATTTTTTAATTTTGGTTGAAATTGACATGTAACAGAGTGTTTCGGTTGTCGGTAAAAGTTTCGGTCGGACTCTAATCGAGAGCGAGTCGAGACGCGCGAACAACAGGTACAGGTCAGTTAAATTCCGAATTAAAATACAATCTTACAAAAAGCAAGAAACACTTACGCTATATAATTCTAAACTCAACAGTGTGCCATTGTATACACTTGTAAATCGGATATTCGCAAAAGTGAATATCAGATATTCGCAAAAGTGAATATCAGAAGCAAATTTTAATTACATTACGTGCGTACCTGATTTTTGCACTTTAACAAGCGCCATGTGTACTAAAAAAGAAGCCGTTAAAATCCTCGACCGACGTAAAAGCCGGCTTTGATTATAAAACGTATTCATTAAAACATATTTTCTCTTTTGTAATGGACGGCATTGAATTAACTGATCCATTTAAATATATAACATGACAGCAAAATAAAAAAATATATAAATTATTAAGAAACATTTATAAAATCAGTCGCTTATGCTAACCATGCAGATGGTACTGAAAGATCACTTGAGAATTTTCATCCTTTAATCAGCTAGGCTGATCTTCTATTATGTGAATCTAAACAAAAAATTGTATTTTTAGAGCATAGGAGAGATTTAATATTATAATCTTGAATCTATTATCAGGATTTTTTACCTCAGATAGAATGGCCCAGTTTTCACTTTCACTATGTATAGTTAAACGAAGTACCGAAACCTTACCCAATCCTCGATCCACGATCCCTTCGGCAACACCAAGTACATCAAACTTACCTATTTCATACACAACATACTCTTTAACAATCTTTCGAATTATTAAATTATAAGATACAGGTATAGAATTTTTTATTACCTATAATAACATAACCGTCCTCCGTCACATCGTTACTATTTCTATCTAATAACGGAGACATCTCGGCTAATACTTCCACAGTCGTATTGTAAAATCTATCAGAAGGATGTTCAGGATTTCCGCTCCTGAATAAGTACCTGCACACAAAATAATAAAATGATTATAATTTTTCAAAATAAAATATTCAATTGTACTACTTGCAACTTACTTTTTTATAAAAATAGGATGCGAAAATTTAAACTTTAAATGGTCTCCCGGCTGAGGTAGCAAGCCCCAAAAGAATGACTCGCCCTTGTATGCTTTTTGCAATGTATACTGTTTGTAAGGCTTGATTTGAGTTTCCACAGTTGCCTCAGGATTCTCGTGAGCGTAAAATAGCGTTATCTTGCCAAATTGTTTGTCCTGTAAACATAATTTAGACATTAGTTTATTGTCATAATTGTATCTCTCTTTTTTAAGAATAAATATGTCTGACATTACTTTAAGTTTCTGCACTTTTCCTTTTAAGGAGGAATGCGTCCCTATGTGTTGAAAGAGAGAAGGTTTGTAATGTATCCATAACTCTGCTTTAGCCATTTTACAATGTTTCTGCCGTAACAAAAATTTCTTTTTAAAATATCAATATTCTCTATTAAATGTGTAATTATTATTATTTACAATATGATTGGACACGAGACCGTTTATATTAAAACTTTAAAGTACTTAAAGAAGCGCCGGTCCGAGTGTTAAGATGTTGAACTATTATATAATATACACTCATTTAAATTGAATTAATTTTCAGAAATAATAATTGCATGCCGATAAGATTATCGGACATTCACACAATCAATCTGAAACAAATAATCCCCCCAAAAATTTCCCAAATTTTAAAAAATTGTAATAAACTTATTGCGAAAAATATTGCCGAAAAATATTATTTCTCAAAATTAATTCAATTTAAATGAGTGTATATTATATAGTAGTTCAACATCTTAACATTCGGACTGATAGGCGCTTCGTACTTTAAAGTTTTATTATTATTTATACTAACGTGGTCCATGTCAAGACTGCAGACTTTTGTCGATATCAAATGGTCCAATAGCCAATCAACAGGCTTATCATTGTAGAACATTAAAAAGAATTGAATCAACCAGGGAAGTTCCACACATTTGAACAGTTTTCCTACAATTTTCAACAGAACTTAAAATATTTCTTTAATATCTACATCATCTGTGCAATATACAACAATGCCATACCGATAAAACCGAGCTGACAGAAATCGAGGACGAACCAATTTTCCTTTGTACCTATCTTCTGTAACGCAAAGGATTTCATGGTAGTTATAAAATTCTTCTTAGCTAAAATATCATCTTCCAATTGTATATAAAACGTGCCCTTAGTTTGGGCATAGGACATAAGAAAAGCAAAATCGAGATTCTGCTTGGACCGCCAAATGACACGTTGATGATCATCGCCGAGAGTGTCGCGTAATTTTGATAAGTTAGGATAATAGGATAATGATGGTGATATCACATCGATCACGCCAGTTTCGCATTCGTTCGGAAATCTAAAATAAAAAGTTATAAAAGTTATAAAAAAAATTCATATTGATATAGACACAAGAATGAATAAGATAAATATAAATTCGTGAACTTACTGGACTTCAATTTGCTTTGCAACATATGTCACGTAATCAATATCTGTCTACAAAAAAAATTATATATATATATGGGACAAAGATTCCAAAATAAAAAATAAGAAGTTCAAATGTATATTCTATTTTTCATTTCAAGCAGTAATTTTTGAGATATATATATATATATATGGATAATTTAACGATTTTCAACAATCACAGAATCGCGTACTGATAATTAATGGTAACTTACAAACAGGCAAGGTTTAAAACTGATCAATAGCTTTAAACCTTGATATCTCAAAAATTATTAGTTGAAATAACAAAATTTTAACTTTCATTTTAGAATATTTTTGCTATGGTATTTTAATTTGCAAATTTTTGAACACCCTATATACATACAATATAATTTTATTAATTCATCAGTTTAATGTCCCAATGACAAATAATTTTATGTTTGTAATTAGCGATTCCACTTACTTCGGCCACTAAAACGATGATGAGTGTGTCAGCGATCTCTGCGGTATTCATACGATCCAGCAGATTTTTCAAAGTCGCCATAAGATAAGATTGAACCTCGCGTTTTACCGTCGGTACTCCCAATACCATGCTTACTCCTGATCTACCTTTGCTCTGCACAAACGCAGGACGCAGACTATTCGGATCATTAAGAAAATGTGGTAGAAAATTGTAGATCGAAGGCAGTTTGATATTGGTGACATTGGAGGTGCCGTTGTTGATGAGCAATTGCAGATCTGGTAAAATATGATTGCTCTCAATCAGCTGTAACAACTGATGCGACAACAAATTTATTTCTTCCTGACTGCTAATGTATTTGGCATGCAAATGCTCCAGTTTAGCCTGTAACTCAGCGATGCTGTTCTGTAGTACGGCTTCCTCACGCATGTCTGATGGCGTCAGCAGATTCAGAATCACGCATGGAACTAAAACTAGCACCAGCACGATTACACATCGCTTCCGCACTGGAGTTAGCGTTGTAAAATGCGGTGTCATCTTCTCCTTTTCTGCTTCTACATTCTACATGATGGTATCCATTGTTGGAAAATAAAAATAAATATTATCTAGAAGCACACAACAGTTGAAACATAAATTATAACTTGTTACATAAAGATTCAATATGCTTATCTCAACTTATTTCAAAGATATAGAAGATTCTTTTAATCTTGCAATTATTTTTTGATAATTATCAAAATTAATATGTATATTTATACTGATAATTAATGGTGAGTCACCAGATAAACAAGATTTAAAACTGACCAATAGCTGTAAACCTTGATATTTCAAAAATATTACATATATTTACATGTATTAATTTATTTTTAATTAAAACATATAGTCATAAACATTCTTAACTACAGCTCTAATGTCTTCTTTAATGTAGCACTTAATAATTTCGCTATACAGACAATAATAACTAATAATCAAATTGAATAGCACAGATTTTAAAAGAAGGATCACAAACGTCGAATAGTTTTATTAAAATTTAAAATATGTTTACTATCTTCAAATATAAATATATATTTATCTTTAAATATATAGCTACAACGTAACTGCTGTTAGTAACACAAAGTAATTATTTTAAAGATTGCTAAAAAGATACTATTACTATACATGACCTAAAAGTACTCATGAACATATATAATTTTTTACATTTAGCCTTCTTCGAGGTCGCAGTCGACGAATGCTTGTCGCGACGACATTGCCTTGTCGTCGCCGTGGAACTTCGTCCTGTTTGTTT